GATATCTTTAAATAGCAAAATATTGGTCACAGGACTCCACTCATCCGGTGTACTTTCAAGTACATTTTAACATCGAATGACCTTGCACCTCAATTCAGTGTGCGCTTTGGATCAACACTGAATAGTTAGAGAAAGTGGGATTGATGACTCCTTCAACCGCAACCCCCACAGACAAATGACCATTATGTTTAACATGAATATGAGTCATCTTAGGCCGTTTGAGATGATTTTGGACGGATAATTGAGTTTCCTACAATGAAATGAGTAGAGGCTTCACGATTATATTGACTTTCATTAGCTTTGCCTTCTAAACTGCTTCTTCATCCTGCCTTGATTGCAGTTACGACTTCGCCTTTGGCTCATCAGCATTCCCAATCGGGTCGTGCGCATCATTTGGCAACGTTGCCATTCCTACAGACAACCAAGTGTTCCAGCGGATCACAGGATATATTTCAGGAAAAACTAGGAGTCACTTGATTTTCACTATTTAGTTACTACTAAACTGTATTCTCATAGAGTAGATTTTTTAATCAAGATTTTCTAGTATGTTGAAAGTTACTTTATCTATAGTTATATATGATGTAAGTTCATCAATATAAGTCAGCAAAAGTTCGTTCCTATCTATTGGCAGTATTCACTTCTTCCATTCTGTCTTGCATCGATTTTGCACATTTTTGAAGACTGTGAGGATTAGCAATATTCCAAAAATAAATCTAGAAAATCCTAGAGAGCGTCTTGTGATGTTAAACTATGCTTTACCTTTTTCCTTTTCAAATGTTCCTAAAGTTGTTCTCAATGGAGTTGAGGTCTGGTGAATGCGAAGGAGGGAAAGCCACGCAAGTCAGAATTCATTGATCTTCTTTCGACTTCAAATAAATCTGGCTCAGCTTAGATGCATGTTTAGGATAATTGTTTTGTCAGACAACGAACCCTTTCTCGCACAACTTTAAGCCAGAGGGGATAGCATACCTCTCAAGAATAAGATGGTATTTCCTTTTGGTCCATGTACAACCCAGGCAGACCTATAGCAATCACAGTGTATGAATACGAGTATATCAATTTAACTTAATTACGAGACATAATAGCACCTTGCTCCAAGATTCGAAGCCATCTGAAAGAAGAACGCCCTATTTCATTCAATAAAATACAGTCAAAAGAGAACTGGAAAATCGCTGCCTTCATGGGCTTTTTTTCCATTCTGCAGCGGTTAAATTTTGGTATTATGTTTCGTTTATAAGTAGGCCTTCGAGACCACCGGTAGATCACTTATATAGGAAGTGTGTCCACGCTATTTCGTTTAAGGTTGAACTTTTTCTCTCAATTATTTGAGCAGACCTTACATCTCCACTGAATTTCGCATAGTCTTGCTTTCCCAAAAGATATTATCATTCAGGATGGACTGCGGTTTGCCAGTTGTCTTTTGACTGTATTTTATTAACTGGAGTAGAAGATTCTTTGTTCAACTGGTTTTGAATGTTGGACCAAGGTTCTATTCTTTCTTTCAATGGAGTTGGCTCGATATAATCGTATTCCGTTGCTGTGGCCACTTTAGGTTGGCCTGGCCTGCACATTGACCAAAGAGAAGTATCACCCTATTCGGCAGAGTCATGCTATCCCCTACGACTTAACGTTTTTTTTTGGAAGAAGAGGCATCTCCTAGCAGGACAATATTCCTAAACATTAATCAAGGCTCTACCATGCTTAGTTAAAGTTCAAGGAAAAGGAAGGAAGGCCGACTTGCATGACTTTCTCGTCTCAGCAGTCAATTCCTTGAGAACATCTTTAGGAACATTTAAAAATATAAAAGGTGAAACGTATTGTAACATCACAAGACTCCTTTATATATATATATACATGCTCTAACGTCATTATGAGTTTGGACCTCATCTTGTTCAAATCAGCTAATAATACACAATGAGTTGGAAAATCGTGGAGGGCATCAGCTGCAATTAACGGCAGAAAACCAAGTTCTCTCCAATAATCCTCTAACAGGCATAGAGATCAGAGCCTTATCTGACACCTGGAAGTTGATTATGCTGTCTTTTATACTCATATGCTCAGGTCAGAACTGGCTGGTTGCCATCTTCTTCATGCTTTATCAGACCCTTTACCACAGTGCTCTATTTGTGCAATACTTTAGCTCCGCTGGAAGGTCGCGATTCCTCTCATGGCAACCAATTTTCATGAGCCTTAGTCCCTGTATCCTGTCTGACCTCCCTGTCAGACTTATTCCACTCACATGTTACAACATCTCCAAGCTCCGTTCATAACCAGCCTGCGACATGCTTGCTAGCGAGGCGACAACGAAACTTGTAATGGTCGGTATCACCGGGTCACCGTGTTCTCTTTGACCTTCATGGCATTTGGGACTCCGGCGCCATAACCGGCCGGCAACAGATAGGGGTCGAAAGGTACAAGTGTTGGCAGGAAAGAGAGTTTTACCATTCGTTTCCACCATCTACCGCCAACTGGCTCAACTGCTCCTTCTACTTTACCTTGGTAGCTG